CGAAGAGACTTAAACCCGGATGCTACCTTCAGCCAGGTCCTCGATGGCCTTGCGGACCCCCCTGTCGAACGCTCTGGCGTCCGCCAGGCTCTGGAAGGACAACCCGCACTTCCTGTCCTCCACCTTCCAGTGGTGGAAGGTGGGCGTGGCGATGGTGTACACGAGGCCCTTCCTCAGCGGACAGTCCAGGATCACCTGGGACAAAGAAGAAACATTATATTTCCCACCCGCGCATATTTTAACACATCATAACATGCAGATAGTTCTCTTCATTTCTGATCGACCTTTGACCCTTCACCTGTTTGTCCCGCAGCCGCTCGCCGCGGATGAGGAAGTGGGAGCAGCCGAAGGGCGGCGCGGGCGCCAGCTCGGGGGGCAGCAGGCGGCACACGCCGACCCGGCTCAGAGCCCCCCCGTCCTGGGCCAGCCAGCCGCCGCTCGAGTCGTCCCGCGTCATCACCACCGCTTTCACACGCACGATGTAGCTGTCACTGTGGGAGGGGCGAGGGGGGAGGAGACAGACAGGCGCGCGTCGTTACGTTCGGCTCTGCGGTATGAAAGCGCCGGGCGTGGCGCCGCGAGGTTCATCACGGCGAAATCTTCCAGCGCGTTTTCACATCTCCGCAACTTCCTCCACATTTATTTTGAGCCGGGTCAAAAGGCCATGACACCTGGGGGACACCTGGGGGACACCTGAGGGACACCTGAGCTACAAAACTGGGTTTGACTGCAGAAGATCCACCTGCTGGCCTTAAATCTTAGTTCACAAGCTAATTAGTAAACAGATAAAACTGTCAAATTAACGGACGAGAAAAACGAATCAAACATTTCCATAGAAAACTAAATACTTCTCTGCTGTTAAGATGATACGTGGCTGTAAAGATAAAAGCTGTATTTGTGTTTATCATTCTTCCCTCCCGACTTCTCCATCCTGTGAACTGAAGTCTTAACGGGTTTATTGTAGTTAATTATGGAGCTGGATTCACGCTGGCGGCAGAATGTTTGAGGGCGTCTCTCAGAGTCACGACTCGGCCGTCCTCGCCGCGGCGAGGTGGGAGGTGTCGCATCGCGACCCGGAAAAAAAACCAAAACTCTCTCTCGCTTTTACGTAAACGAAGCGGTTTTTCTTTATTCTCCGAACACGTAACACGCGGCACGTGTGGCCGGACCAGATATGTAAAATATACTATTTCACTGTGTTTGACGCAAAAATGATTCTGATAATCAGGGACGTCAAACACACTTTTTTATATGAATTTCTTTTATTAAATCGTGGACCACAGAGCATGAATGTTCCTCCACTTCAAAGCTGTTTATCGACCTAATTAATAATAGAAATTAATCGCTTAATCTCAATAATGTAAGAGTTGCGCACCAGAAGGTCATTGATCTTAATAAAAAAATTAAAAAAAGAACATTTTCGGTTATGATGCAAATAAATAAATAACTAAAGCGACGCTCCGTTTAAAAGTGTTTTTAAAACGAGATCATTTCAAACTCATTGTTTGGTTTCAAGACGGAAGCTTAAAATTCCTCCTTTCTTTGTCTGCAGAGAGAGAGACACACACACACACACACACACACACACACACACACACACACACACACACACACACAGGTTATATAATTAGCCTTCGGACTGCCAGGGATTTGACACACACACACAAACTGGTTGAGCAGCTCCGCCCACACACACATTCATAAAAGTGACTGAATGACGGACGAGAGAGAAACACAACGAGCTGGAAACCAACCGCACATTGTGTAAACACACACACACACACTTCCTCTGAATCTCCCTCATCAAAGTTTAGACTTTTCCATTCAGATATTAAAAGTATTTTATTTCTTGAATGGAAACAGAAACAATTCAAAACTAAAAAGTCCGGCATCGATAATTCAGTTTGTTATTATATAACAACATTCTTCAGTCAACATTTATTGCTTTTTTTATCCTCAGGAACTCAGAAGCATGCAAAGTGCTTTGGGAGGAACGCAGTCTCCCAGAGGCTCCCTCCTCCTGGGGGGGGGGGGGGGGTCTGTGAACCAAACTTAAATCAAATCTCTCTAGGATGAGAACTCTTGGAAACATTTGGAGCTGACTGGTGACCCTTGTTTGGCCCTATAATCTGTAATCTGTAATCGGTAATCTATAATCTGTAATTGTTAATCTGTAATCTGTAATTGGGAGCAAACGGACGACCAGCAGCACAAACACTCGCGGGACGGCTGAACGCAGACCGTGACTCTGCTCTGACGTGGTTCGGGGGGTTTGAGACGTGACTTATTTTTCGCTTGTTTTTTCCTGTGACGGCTCCCGGGAGCTCGAAGCGCCTCAGCCCTCCGCGGACCCCACACGACCATCTGGTGGGATCCGGCCGCTCTGGAAGTTAAAGGTCGAGTGATGTTCAGCACGTCGCCGATCGCAGATCAGTTCACGATAATAATGCACGAGCCGCATGGGCCGACGCAAGAATGGAAGCTGCTTTAACCAGCAGAGGTCTTCTTCTAGAGAGGTGCGTTCTGTGCACACTGCTGAAATACTCAGGTCTTATTAAAGATGTTAAATCCTTGGTCTGGAATACAAAGGGTGACGAAACACTTAAATGAAACCAATGTATTAATAAACCAGCACCAAGTAACAGCTGGTTTCTTTGGTCCGTCTCCCGGCTGGAGGACCACTTTCACTTGTGCGTCTTCACGTCCTTTGTGCTTCACCGGCGTCCACAACACGCGCTTCCTTTCTGTGATGAGGGAACCGTCTGCAGCGCTCGGTGACGTGGAGTCACACACCAGTCAATGACCCCCCCCCATTGGACCTGTGTGTCTGTATTGGGGGTCAGAAGTCCTGGAGGGGGCTTCCTGAAGGCACCCTCGTCAGGGTGGTCCTCCATGGGGGGCCACGTGGTGAGCAGGACCCTGCAAATACCTGGCTGCAATAAAGCAGTGAGGGGGGGGGGTGCTGCTATCAGGTCGGCATTCCAGCTCATGAGGAGCAGATGAAAAGGGCATCGAGGGCGACGCAGTCATGTGTGAGGAGGGCGGCTTCACTTCCTCTGATAAGGAAAGAGCGCGCACACACACACACACCCACACACACACACACACACACACACACACACACACACACACACACACACACACACAGACATGCACACACCCGCACACACACAC